CTCTTATCCTTGATATGCCTAACACAGTGCCGAGCATAAGTCGTTCCACCACCTTTCCAGGACTGGAGGTGAGGCTCACCAGTCCGTAGTTACCCACGCCCTCCTTCTTGCCCTTTTTGAAGACTGGAATGACATTTGCTTTCCTCTGGTCCTCAGGCACCTCTCCTGTTGCCCACGACTTACTAAAGATGATGGAGAGGGGCCTAGCTATGGCTTGCACCAGCTCCCTCAGCACCCATGGATGTATCCTGCGATTTACTGTAGGTGATCCTGCTCTGGCAGGGGGGCTGGACTAGATGATCTTTTGAGGTCCCTTCCAACTCCTGACATTCTGTGATTCTGTGATCCCATCAGGGCCCATGGATTTATGGATGTTCAGATTGCCCAACTGATCCCTAATCCAGTCCTCATCAACCAAGGCAAATTCCTTCTTTATCTTGATTTCCTCTGTGGCCTCAGAGATCTGGGGCTCCTGAGGACAGTCTCCAGCAGGACAGACAGAGGCAAAGAAGCCATTCAGTAACTTTGCCTTCTCTGCATCCTCTGTCACCAGGGCACCCAACTCATTCAGCAGTGGGCCCACATTGCCTCAACCTTCTTGTTTAAGCCTCAGCTGAAACAGGCCAACCAGGGCTAAGGAAAAAGCAAGGCGAGGTTGTTCTACAGTCACACCATGATCTGCAGAACTTAGATGCATAATCCAGTACCTGCTGGTCCTTCTTGGCCAAGATCTCCTGGGCCTCCTTTGAGTCCATTCACTCCAGTGCTTCCTGGGTAGCCTGGTTCACCCTTGGGTCCTTCTCTCCCTCTCTCTCCTGAAAGGATAAAAACAGGCAGCATGCTAGAGCACGTCAAAATGGGGGAAGGCATGAAGTGAAAGAGAAACATGTTATGTTGAGGCTGCAGCACTTGTGTCTGCTTAGCCATGGTCTAGGTCCAGGATGGGACTGCCAAATACCAGTGCAAGTTCACAAATTCCTCCTCAGGAAGAGAGGTGGGACTCAGCATTAGAATTGGGCTGTTCTCAGACCTGTTCATTATCATCCTGATTTGTGTCCCACTTGGGTTCCCAACTCCTCAAATCTCACTTCCAGGAGAGGACTAAAGTATTTAAATTCATAATCACAAACTCGGCAATGCTATCCTTTTTAATGTCTATAATCCTGCATTCTTGAAGCGAGCCATTGAGGGCTACTTTACCTGGGAATCCTGTGTCCCCTCGCTCTCCTTTTGCTCCAGCAATGCAAGGAATGCCAACAGACTCTCCCTGGTCACCTGGAAAAGAAAGACAAGGTGAGGAAGACATTCCCTACTTGACTGCAGGGAGCAGTTTTCAGGGCTGCTCAATAGCCTTGTTTGTGAAAATAAACCTTGCCTATGATTCAAATCCATGGAGCAAACAAAAACAATAGTAAGTAACGTACCTGAGCTTATAAACAGCAATAGATACAAATTCACTCATGCAAATGCATGATATGACAAACATTTATGCGTAATTTCACATCTTGTCCTTTATAGTTTTAACACCAGGAGGTTAAAGAAAAAGACGCTTCTTATACTGTCCAACATGCTTCACACGGTGCTATGGCCAAACTTTCAAAGGACATTGAGCAAACTTTCAAAGGCATTTGGCTTGGGACTAGTCTCATCTGAATGAAGCCCCTTACAAGGGGACATGTACTTCGGAGCCAGTCACTGGAGAGCAATGACACTTTTCGAACCCTATTCATTCAATTTTGTCATGAATATTAGGACTGTGTGTACTGAAAGACCATGTACATTACAAAAATTATTTTACCTTTTGGACCAGGGGGACCAACAGGTCCTGGGAATCCAAGTGTTCCTGTGACACCATCTGAACCCTGAAAAAATAAACCCTAAAATTAGCTTTTGCGTTTTCTTCCTGCTGTGCCAAGTTTGGGTCATGTAGGATAACAAACAACAAACATGTAGGAAGAAACACTATCCAAAATTTCATTCAACAGTACGAGCTCAACAAAAACAATCTGGAAGTTTTGTAAGGAAAGGTCCTGCCAGCTTCTGCTGCTTTGCTATAGAGGTATCAGTCAGAACACAGGATTTTCCTAAGAACATTTAGACAAGATGAAGATACTAAAGAAAGTATTTACCCTTTCCCCTGGCATTCATACAATACCATGTGTACCCTTCCGTCCTGGCAACCCAAGCTGTCCAGGTGGACCAGGGAAGCCTGGGTCTCCATGAAGACCTCTCTCTTTGCTTGCTGACCCAACTGGACCAGGGAGACCAGGCTGTCCACGGCTTCCTGGGATTCCTTTGTCACCTGGGTTATACAAGAGTGTAATTTCATTTCATAACACACACATTCAGCTCATTTGGGCCAACTGACCTGTTACCCAAAGCTCCCTTTAAAAGAAGAGGAAGGGATGACATTAGCTCTGCAGAGCAGAGCTTCAAAGGAAAAACTGTTTTCTCAAAATTTCAAACTGTTGCATCTTGCTAGAATATGAATGGCAGAGCAGAAAATACTGCAGGGGCTGTCAAAAGGACAGACCATGCTACATTGAGAACAAGGAGAGCTACTGAACAATTGATACTGGTAACTAGCTACAATGTTGTGAAATACCTCTTGGCCCAGGGAATCCTCCAAGTCCAGCTAATCCAGGATCTCCTTTCTCTCCTTTGAATCGCAGTGCCTGTTCTGGATGCCCAAGAGCAGGAAGACCAGGTGGGCCTGCATCACCTCTGTCACCTGAAGAAAGATATCATACATATCATTAAGTGCTCAACATACTTGGCAGTGAGGCCAAAGTATTTCACCAGGAAGAACATAATATTTAGAAGAAAACATCAAATACACAGACATCTCTTAAAAGCCTCCTAAGTCCCTCTACTGTACAGTCAGCAAAAGCCTTTCATCTGCTTCTTACCTTTTTGACCTTGGAGACCCACTACTCCAGGCCTCCCTTTACTTCCAGCTGCGCCAGGAGTTCCTTTAAACCCATTCACCCCAGGGACACCAGGTAGCCCTGGCATGCCAGGGAAACCAAGCAAGCCAGAAGACCCTTTCTCGCCTGTACAAAAACGTTAAGAAAGGGAAAATTAGTTTCGTTTGGTACACCGTGTACACACCTGGCTGGTAAGGTAAAGGTAGCATCAGTCTGGCCAGTCATCGAAATCTGAGCAGTAAAACTTCATGGCGCAAGTACAGCACAGCTACTTCGTTCATGGATCTCTCTCCACTCATAATACTTCCAGCCAGCACTTTTCAGTTCACCTTTGAGAGCCTGGTCCTCTTCCATGCAAGACCAAAACCCAATCAATTTCCAAGAGAGCAACCTACAGTTACCTAGCTCTCTGCTTAAAGTAACAGAATTCTCCAAGTAATCAACTATTGTATTGGTGCTTAATGACCAGAAGGATTGTAAATCTTTAATTCCCTTCTATAAATTTCAATCACCATTTGCCATTTCTTCAGTTTTCTTGCTTTTTTAGTCTTGATTTACATAATCCTTTTCCCAGAAGGGTCCAAGTCCTTTAAGATGGCTATCCTTGTGACCAATGATTTTATAATTCATAACTCAGCAGCAAAACAAAAGCATTCCAGCACTAGTTGGGAATTCATTCTTTTCTGACAAGTTAGGCCTAAAATCAGCATTAACAGTATTATTTTCTTGTGTGCACAGTAATCTCAAACTATTCCCCTAGTGGAACACATACCTTTTGGCCCAGGGAAACCTGGATGCCCATCCTGACCAAAAGGCCCAGGTGGCCCTAAGAATCCTCTTTCCCCAGGAGAACCTGGAACACCTTCAAGACCTGGGAAGCCTTTCATACCAGCAGGGCCTTGTGGACCCACATCCCCAGTCAAGCCTTTGACTCCAGGAAGTCCTGAATCAATACAAGAAGAAACTCATTAGATTATGTCATTCAAACACTAGGAAAATTTGTAGACAGCTACCCAAATGCTTTAAACAGTGCTGTTTTCAATACGACAAATGGACCTTATGGCACATGCAGCATACTAGAAAGCATAAAGCTTAGAACTGCAAAAGCATTAGTCATCTAATAATAAAATACCTATGAAGAGGGTTACTGCCTACATCACTACACAACTGGCAAGGGTGAAACCCCTTATGATGTATCCATTTTTGTCTCCTTAACCACACACTAAACTGTGGTGCATCAGTCTTACCTTTATCATCAGGGCAGCCAAAACAGAATGGGGAGTACCATTAATGCCAGCTTCTGCTACCCACCACTTCCACTGGGGGAATGAGAGAACAACCGGAGAGGCTTGTTTTCACAAGTTTCTTTTCCGCCTTGGTAGTGTTATTTCTCAAGGGCAAATTGGTCACTAAGGGAACAAGCTCTTGATTGTGCTGTCACAAAACCAACATCATATGCACTATTTTGCCTTTAGGTGTTTGACTTCTGGTTTGATTAGCAATAATAAGGGGTATCACCTATATTCAATGCAATTCTTGTAGCATTAAAAGCTAGGTTGTTAGTCCATGAGCTTTTATGCTACACTGCATTTTCTCACCTTGACAGCCTATGTGAAGAACCCATAACCAAACAGTGTGCATCAGAAATGAAGAGTTGATGATAAATGGAACAGAAACATGGTGAAGGAAAAAACAGACAAAATATGTAAACAGAAAGAACAAGAAATTAACTATTCAGAGAGACTACAGACACAAAAATCTTAATAATTTGGAGGTTATCATTCTAGCAACAGTTAAAGGAAAGTTATATATCACATACAGTCCAAAACTGTAACACAATAGAGGCAAAAGGAATGTTAACATCAAAAAACCCTCTAAAACTCTATGATTTTCATCTCAAATGATGTTACTGCTTTCACTTTAGATGTCACTGTGCTCCAGCACTGTCATTCTGTATGTCAGAACAGACAAGTTATGTCTCAGACCATTACATACCAATTCCCAGTTCCCTCTTTGCTGGGTTCTCAAGTCTTGCATATACCGTTATAATGAAACACTTCAGTCAGTGCAGCTTGAGAGATACTGCTGTACTCAAGTGATGTGTTGGTTTTCCCCATTAAGTGAGAGGACATAAATTTCTCTTTTTCTCCAGGAAAACAAAACACACAGAAGACTTAAATGCTTGTTCTAAGAAAGCCAACCATTTTTCAGTATATCAAAGTCATATCTCAAGCAATCTCATACATGAGAAACTAATCATCATTAAAATGAGAAATGAAGATTAGTCAATGATACAGTGAGCATGTAAGAGCAGACATGTTAATATCAAGACATTTCAGATGCTTTCTCCTTTCTTTCCTCTGTAGTTCTTACAGCCTTAAGGCATCATTTCCAGGCAAGATTCTTCCAGCAGTCAGAGGCAACAGGCTCAAATTCTGCACTGTTACCACTAACGAGAGGTAGGAGCTCGTTCCTAGCAAATGCCAAATCTCCTTCACACTTCCTCAACATGGCATTGTTTAGCTTAGCTACTTATGTTCATACCTGGTGCTCCTGCAAGGCCAACTGACCCCATGGGTCCTGGTTTTCCCTTAATGCCAAAAGGACCTCCAGGACCAGGAGGTCCTCGCAATCCAGGGACACCCGAATATCCTGGATTACCCTGTTCGCCTTTAATACCTAGGAGCCCTGGCCTTCCATCTGACCCTGGAAATAGAGAAGTAGGAGGTTATGAAACAAATAAAACAAAGCTCACACTTGTAATTAAAAATGTGAGTTTTAAGAAAAGCCTTTGAGTTGCATTATGTTCTGAGAGAAAACCAGCAAATCACCACCTGTGAGTGGCATAGAGGACTGGTAATGCAGTATCTTAAATGAGACTGGAAGGAGGAAAGGTTTCTGAAAGAGAAACAGTTTGATATTCCTACATAAAAGCAGTATCAGTGCTTACCCTTTGGTCCTGGAAATCCAAGATCACCTGCAAGCCCTTTATCGCCCGGAAGTCCAGGTCGGCCACGCTCTCCCAGAGCTCCACTCTCAGCACCAAATATATCTCCAGGAGGTCCTTTTGTTCCAGCTAACCCTGAAGCACCCATTTTCCCAGGCAAACCATCTGTTCCATCCAGTCCTGGAAGTCCTTGTGACCCCTGCTCTCCTCGAGGTCCAGGGAAGCCTTAAAGAGAAAAACAGTAAATGTCACTCAGCAGAAGCACAGAATATCTGCTTCCAATGGCATTTCTAACAAAATCAACATTTATAAAATTTGTGTGAAAAAAACAAGTTGTTTGGGAAGTTGCAGAACGTATCAGTATTGAATTGAAAACAATATTTGGTTACAGAAAATGATCACAGAATCACAGAATGTCAGAGGTTGGAAGTGTCCTCGAAAGATCATCTAGTCCAAACCCCCTGCCAGAGCAGGATCACCCAGAGCAGGTCACACAGGAATGAAACTGTTTAAAACAGGTAAAATATCCTTTCATATTATTCTTTATTTTTTTTTAAAAGGAATACTTTAGGAGTATCTGGAAACTGCAGCTAGTTGCAGCTTTACAAACTTGGTTTCACTAGATGGCAGATCAGGCAAAAAGGAGCAAAAAAAGAGAAGAATGCTATTTCAGGCTGCAGACAGACAGTATCTCACCACTGTCACTATCAACCACAAAAGCTGCAAAGATGTTACAATTCTTTACACCTTTCCTACTCTGTCCTCTATGTCAGACAACTTCTGGCACAGTGGGGCAAAAGACATTGGCAGCCTTGGTACAAGAAGAACTGAAGACCATGCTCTCTGTACCAAGCAGACACTAAGCTGCACTGCTGCGTGGACCGGTCACACTGCTCACGGGTTATGTCATGAAATTAGTGACCCCATAAAGATGACATCCTCCCTTAATGTACTGAAAGAATGAGAGATTTCTTCAGCCATATCCAGAGAAATTTCAAGGATACACAGCAATTTAGCTTTAGGAATCTTCCCACACCACCTCTGCTTCTTCCTCTCTATGTATACAACCATTAGAAATTCCCACAGTTAAAAATAGTCCAAACATTGTGCACAGTGTGCCTTTACCAGAGTACCATGTGGCTTAAAACAAGATTTACACTAAATGTGCAGTTAATCTAAACGAACAAAGAACATGGTGACAGTCTCTGGAGAAATAAATTGTGTTAGCTGTCCTCTTCCAGGAACAATATATAATTATAGGCAGGTTACAACTATCTTAAACATTTCTTCTGCTTTCTTCCAAGCTGCAAACGCTTGCAGAGATTGCATTTGGAAGGAGCACAATGGAGCTCTCAGTAGAGCATTATGAAGGTACCAGGCAGAAAAGTGGCCAAGGAGGTTGGACAACTTTTGATAAAATATTGTATAAATTACTCAGACAATAAAAAGAACTCCAGTAACTTCCGTCTTACCAGGTTCCCCTTGCAACCCTACTATTCCTGGAGACCCTGGCTGTCCTTTTGATCCAGGTAATCCAGGTTGTCCTGGAATGCCAGGAAAACCTTTGCTGCCCTTGGGACCTAAGGGTAAAAATATATTAATAGATAATATTAATGGATGAATAGTGGAAGTCAAAAACACAGCACATGAAAACACTATCAGATCTTTTCTGCCAAGCTGAGGCTGAAAGCACTCACTGGATACACAATTTAAGCTAAACAAAGCCTCAAAGCTATGGCTGTTTAAACAGCTACATAAATGCAAAAGGAGTGATCAGAGGCTACTTGAAAGGGAAAAAAATGGTGCACTCATTATGATCCTCCATGCGATTGAAGACTCGTCTCTTTGAAAAGAAAAAAGAACACTGTTCTGCTGGTTAACTCTCTGAAATAACTACCACTCAGAGAAGAAGAATTAGCAGTTATTAATCTTCCTCGAGGAATAAATGCTTCTTGGTAGTCAGCCAGTGCATTACGATCAGCTTGTATCCCTACCTGGCAAACCTGGAAAGCCGTGAATCCCTGGGGGCCCATACGCTCCAGGAACTATGCAGGGCAAGGTGATACCTAAAACAAAGAAACACTGAGGATGCACACAGCCCCTTTTAGAGAGAAGAGGAACATTTAGTATCCAGATGCTTTTTACAGGACATGTAAGAGGTTTTAAGTGAACTTAAGCACATCCAACACTGTTGACATGGTGAAAAAGAGGCATTCAGAGCCTGAAAATTGTCTAATCTTACCCCTACTACTTAATTACCGCATGATCAATAAAAAGTAGCAACTATGGCTGCAGACTACTTCTAGCATGATATCCATAGCTCCCACGCAGCAGCTGCTCCTCCCTGTGGTAGGGGCTATGCAACAGACAATTGAAAATGCAGTCTGACTTGGAGAGCTTAAGGTCCACGCTGAGAGGTTTCAAATGCAATGCGAGCTGACAGGTGTTGATAATTTTTAAAAACTGAGGATGTAAGCTATAGTGTGAAATTCTAAAATAAATATGCACATGCAAGATAAAATATGTATCTAGGGAATATTGGCAAGTATTTAAAAAATGTTGTCACCCAAAAGTTTAGCCCAGGGAGATGCATGGAAGGTGGAATAGCAAGGATCTTTTATTTCAGCCTTACTCTCCAACTGCTTCTTCTGCAGTCTGTCAGATTAAGAACTAACCACATGGCTTAAAAGTTTATTAGCAGCAAACAAGACTCAGCAATTGCAAAGCTCTTTGACTGACTACCACCTCTCAAAACAAAGCTCTGTTTGTAAGAGCAATCACTCTTCAGTAGAATGAAATTTATGTGGCATTACCAGGGTTACTAGTATATCAGATTTACCTGAAAGATCTCAAACACTTCCAACATTCCTCCTCGTAGACCACTGACAGCTGAAGTCACATTCATATAGTCACACAAACGATTATCACAAAACTAATTCAAGACTTTACAACGTCAGAAATGCTGCTGGTTATTTTAAGAGGAGTCTGTGCTAGAACTATAGAATTAGGTCCTGCACTGTAACAGCTGGCTTAGTCTTAAACTATCACAGATATACTTCCTAAGATCGAAACTCTATAGGACCTTAAGAGCTATTTAGTCAGAGAGATTGCACACAGAAGATCACTGCTAAAGCAAATTCGGGGATGAGGTGGTTTCTTTCATTACCCTGAACACTTCTCTACGCACCAAGAAACAGCTGCCTAACTGCACTGCTGCCCAATATTGGCTAATTCAAACCTGGCATCAACTACAAGGCTGACTGAGGATGAGATTATAATGAGATAATAATGAGGTATCACAGCTACATTGTTTCTCATTTCTATCCAATCTCTTTTATGGTATCCTACTATTTAAGCTCCATTCCCAGACTGACAAGCCAAATTTACTCATCAGCCATTCAAGAGCACTCCAAATTGTGACTACTTTCAGTCCTGAGGAGGTAATATGGTCCAAATCAAGCAACACTGAAAGTATTTATTTCATCACAGCAACACGAGTTAAGCACTTTTTTTCCAAAAAGATTTAACATTTTCAGATGACTAGCAAATTTTATTAACAAAACACCCTGAGTTAAACTATTTCCTGGATATATCCAGTCAAACCAGTGGACTTCTGTGTGGATCATAAATATGGCTCTTTGCTTCCAACACTGACAGTGGAAATAGGGGTCTTGAAATGACATAGGTCAGGACAAAAACTCATGAAGTAACCCAATTTCTGGTGCAAAAGCTGTGAAGATCCCTATGAAAGTTGAAACTGTGCTAAGAACTGGTTCGATGACATTCTTGGGTTCTTCTCAACAGATTCCAACACAGTTCACAAAAGGCTGTGTGAAAATTTCACTTTGATGCTCACATCCAACCAGAGACAGAAACTTAAGCTTTCAGTTTAGGCTCCAGCCCCAAAACTGGCAGTATAGGCAGACTTAAGCATCCCTCTCTTACAGTACCAAATGACAGAGCGATTCTGGTTTGATCTCGCATTTCTATCTCCTTTCATTCCACCTCAACCCTAATTTTCATGATTCCATTATTTTGACTTGTGTGACTGATTTCATTATTCAGACTTGTGAGAAGAAAGAACAATCCTAATCAAAAATTCTAGGTAGTTGAGGGCTACTAACAGGTATCAGCTCTAGTATAAAGAAAAAACAAGGCTCATATGGAAACTGAGATGTAGCAGGAAACAAAAGGAAAAATCCTCAGGGTGTCTAATCTACTCACATATTGCGATGCCATGCAAATTCTTAAGGAAACATCAGAACGTTTTGTACTTTGATGTGAGAGAACCGAAGGTCAGTTCTTGATTCATTACTTTTTTCTTGATGTAAGGCATTCAGTAACAGCAAAATTAATTTTAAAATGACTGTACTCACAATAACATATCTACACAGAGTTGCAATAACACTTCCATTCTTACGCAAAGCCAAAGCTTGCTCTGTTTGCATCTGTGACAGCAATTCATTGTTATAGTCAGCACTATCTTTAAGAACAGAAGTTCAAAACTAAAATACTAATCTAAGTTATGCTTTGAATGGATATGGACACCTAATACCATGATTGCAAAATGTGACACACACATTGCTGCCTGCACTTCAGTACACTTTGACAGGGCATTCTTTCAATAAAGTAAAAGCTAAATGGTAAGGACCCCAACTAAAAATTCCAATTCTGGTCTTCTACAATCCTATGTGAGCCTAATGCTGAATTCTTCATCAAAGAAAAAGTTGAGATCCACCATCTCTGTGACACCTTCTCCTCAGACACAGCACAATGAAGAATGACATTTTTCAAAAAGCTAGCATTTGGGGCAGCAACTGGCATGGAAAGGGAAGTTTAATTAATACTGCTGCATTCACATCACATGGCTTTAAGGACTGTCTGACATGAGTTTTCCAAAAAACACCTCTGTACAATAGCATGTTCTGTATTTTACATTATTAGTTAGCAGTAGAATACTTGAACAATGGATATTTCATGTCAACTGCAATACAAATAGGACTGTTTCCTTGTGATTTTTGTAAAATGTTGTAAGCAAGGCTTACTGTAAATCCATATAAGCAAAACTTCGAGTTGTCCAGCTAATACCCTACATTATCAGGGTTTACACAGTCATATTCCAGTATCAAGGAAGTAAAACAATTATGAAATCATCACATCAAGTATAAAAGTGAAATATGGGCAATTTCAACATTTTTGAGCATTCTCATACACTAGGTAAAATTAATCTAGCTTTTTATAAAATAGTGAGTTAGATTTTTCCAAAGCAAGACTGTTCCACCCTGTTGTACTGCAGGTGGCATGAACTCAAGCAAAATTCCTCAGTGGTGTCTTTGAAGTGGTAACTTCAGTAGGTCACAGTCTCTTTTTAATGTCTTTCCTCATTTTCACAATAAGGTCTTTCAGTCTGAGCACTGTAAGAAATGATTATTTCTTCCACCCACCCACATTTCTTTAATATTAGATGAAAGTTACTACATCAAAGAGTCTTTTAATATATGCAAATTATTTCCTAGTATGGAGGGAATGATGCACTCACAAGTTTTCTTACCTATCTCTATGGAGGTGCAAACTGAACTGGCTAATGAATTATTCACACTTTCCTACATATTTTGACTATAAATACTCTTCTATAAAGGACCATTGACTGGTATCAAAGCTTTGATGCAGCATTCAAAATGAGCTGGCTTCTGATGTGCTCTGCAGAATATGTGGAGTTCACAACATGCAGAGAGTATTTTACTTTTACTTATCTTACAACGCAATGTTAATTTACTGAATTTTCTAAGAGACAATTTACCAAACAAAGATGTAAGCACTCACAGCTATGAATTAGTAAAGCTTTTAGCATTTATCGTGTGACCCGAATTGGAAAAAAAACTTATTATGCAGACTGCTCCAGGGAGTTATTAATGCTAGCTGTCTTCTCACCCCATACCAACCCAGCATGACGCTGCATATCTGTGCAACCTTCCCAATGCTATTCTGGGCTAGTTCTCACCTCCTCTGGGTCTGAGACTCCTCTGCTAATTCCTCATACTGCAGCAGTCTTACTGCCAGGACTATTGAACTCAGCACATTGGTTTACTAGCCAGAAACCTATGCAACAATATTATGCCTGCAAACACATTACTGATTCTGCACTACTGATACTGACAGAATAACAAACCTAGAAGCCTAAATATACACAGAATGGAAAATACATTGAAAATCAGCAGCAGCAAAGAAAAAAACCCATTGTTTATCTTAAATTATATTTAAATGGCTGACATGGAATCAAGACATTGGGAATAGCTTTCTGCAGTCATTTTGTTATGAAGACATTCTCCATGAATATTTAGACATATGACTTTCCACGTAATTCACTTTAAGAACAAACAAAAAGCACCATACCTGAAATGTTACCAAACTTATATTTACTGACTTTATTCCTTGTCATTATGGTATGGTTTAGGTACATATAATGCCATAATAGTTGAGCCAAACTCTAGTATCTCAGGAAGCAAACAGAGCTCACTGCACCATTTAGAATTGAACTCCCGTACCTAACTGTCACGACAATGTCTTATTCATCAACGTCTACATTATTCATCAATACATACAATGTATTACAGTTTCCCCTTAAAAAAAAATAAATCTGGAGCTTTTCTGGAAACTGATTCAGAAGTCTCAGATACCAGTGAGTTAGTACTTTTACCTGGACAATGAAGTAGGGTGTGCTTTTTAAAAACCTCATTTTATCAATACCTTTGGTATAAAATAGTTCTCCAGCAACAGTCAGTGACTAGCTCCATCCAATACTCTTATTATTGGAGTACTACTTGAGGATTTGTGGCTTATTATCTGTGTCATCACAAGCACGACAACTTGAGAAAGCTGTGACTGCTGAGTGAGATCTGGTGAGCCCACAAACCAGTTTTAATTAATTTAAAGAGCAATCTTTAAACTAATGCAATCTTCTGGCCTGGCTACAGGCACAGCAGGAAGTTGAGTGCTGCCATTTGACTTAGAGCAGTGTGCACTTTTTCAAAATAAGAGCAGATCCAGCAACACCTACCTGGAGGGCCTGGAAGACCTGCTTGTCCTGGAAATCCATCCACCCCTGGGTCACCAGGTGGCCCACGAACTCCACTAGGACCTGCGTAACCAACGCCAGGAGAACCAGTTTCTCCACGATGGCCCTTGGAACCAGGTAATCCTGGCAGTCCTTTTTCACCTGGGAAACCCAGCCCACCATCACCCTGTGCACAATAAACACAACTACAGCTGAAAATCATAGAGATGTAGAAAAAATATACACCACTATCATTTTAACAAATGCATACAAGTTTGGTCAGTTCTATGCAAGGTTCAGATGGGCCTGGGAAGGTACATGGAAACCACTGTTAATTATCCATCACTACTTCAAGCGCAGAAAAGCTCAGTGACTATTAAAAAGAATGTTTTCTGTTGTATTTGCCAAAATGTAAATACTACATATTCTGAAAGACATTTACTTTCTTTTGAATTAAAAAATATCCTGGTGTGATTTTTCTCTTCCAAATTCTGACTCATAATTATGCCTACAGCATCTTCTAGGACACGACATAAAGCAGCATTAGGGTCTACTCACACTACTCCAAGTTCATCTTTTGACTGTGTGGTCAGAGGCATGATAAATTCCAGTTATTCGTCCTGACCAAGACAAATCTGTGCTCAGGGACTGTGAGTTTTTAATCTATTTGGAGACTTACCACAGGGCTAATCAGGACTAATAAGCCAGGCCTTTCTACTGTCTCTTCTCCTTATTCTAATTCTGAAGCACTGCTGCTAAATTAATCTGAACTTACTGGAGGGCCTGGTGGGCCTAGCAAGCCTGGAAGTCCATCCTTGCCAGGGGTTCCTGGGATGCCTGAAGGTCCTCTGAGTGCTGTTGCTCCACGGTCCCCACGAGCACCTTTGACTGTTGCATAGGATGAATCCCCTTTCTCTCCCTTAAGGCCTGGAAGACCTTGCTGACCGTCCGAAGCCTGCAGACCAAAAGATAAAACAATGGGAATACGAACATGTAGAGAAGGCTTTGCTTCTTAAAAATGTCACCTGAAGGCAGGACACAATAACAGAAACTAGAAAGAATTTCCAAAGGCTTTCCCATTGTATACATTACACTAAAAAGAAAAAAAAAAGGAAGAGGAGGTTTGATTATTTCTGAATGTTTCAATCAAGTCACTGCAGATTTGCAGTGGCAAACTAAACCCTGGTATATAGCACCACTATGACAGCAATCTTCGATGGCATATGGGAACATGACATCAGCCATGAATAACACGGCCCAAGTACTTAATCTTTCTCCCTATTACTTGGTGTTCTGCATTTACTGACACAGACAAAGATACTCTGAAGACAAAAAAACTGGCGTCTTTACAAACTATGATTTCCAAAAGCAAATAACTGCCGATGAGCAACACTCAGCACTTTAAAAAATTCTGTTTGTTATGATTGTTGTTTCATAAAAAACATAGCTCAACCTTCATTAATGTATTTAGAGTACAACAGTTGAGAAGGAGACTGCCTTTATGGCATACAGTTTTTATACCTATGAGCAATTTTTTGAAAAGATCTTACCATTTGATTTTTTTAGGTGCTTTCTCCATGCAGATAGATATCTGCTTACCCAGTCAGCCCTCATTTAGAAGAATCGTGGGTCTAATCCATGTATGCCTAAGGTCAAGAAGCCCTGAGATGAATAATTATTACCGGTTTTCCCTTGACTGGTAAATATGCAGTTCTCAGAACTTAAGAACAATTTCTTCTCCCCTATTTTATAGGTGATAATTTCTCTCTGATCTCACAGATCTGCTTCTGGGTTCTTTTTTTTAAAAAAAAAATAAATTCAAACAAGTAGATGAAATTATGCAAAAAAAGAGTTCTGCTTTTCTGCTTTCACTACAGTCAACACCAGGAACTGCACATAGGCACGTTTTCTTCGTTAATTCATGACAACAAATACAAACTCTTCTTGTCTTACCGGAGGGCCCTGCAGTCCTGGTGCACCCACAGTGCCTGGGTCTCCATGAATGCCCTTAATTCCAGGCATACCAGGGCTTCCTGATGGACCTGGTGGACCTGAGATCCCTTTTAGACCAGCTCTTGTAACTCCTCCATCACAAGCACAGTCACCTGCCTCTCCTGGAAAACACAGTCAAGGCTTAAAACTCAGTTTCTTTGGATAAAGGTCCTTTTTAGTTGCAAGAGCTTCAAAAGCAGTACTTGATTCAACAGGACAAAGCCATTCTCATATCATTTAATTTTGTGCCTGCTCTGCTCAGGTCATGTGAGTGCCAAGCAAGTGAAGATCAGGTTTTTTCCAGTTTAATTTCTATGCGATATCCATCACCAAATTACCATGTCAAGCATAAACTTCAGCCCTTCTTGACCTCTCAAAGGTTTAGACTCTCCTAGAAGAGTTTCAGGACAGTCCTGTGGTTGTTTAAAGAGATAGTTGTATGTCAGAGAAAGTAAACCCACACTCCCACTCACAGTAGGTTACAATGATCTTCAGCTGGATATCTTTATATTTCTTTGAATTGTAACTGGCCACGCAACTGAACAATCACAAAGCCTAGTGATGTCTGCATAGTCACGTCTTTTGCTGCTAGTTCTATCACACACTAAGACCCAAATGACCATCATTTTTAGCACTGAGAAGAATACAATAAATTTTCTCTGTCATTGCCAGCCTATAGAGCAAAAAGTAGTGAAGGAGATTTTATTTCTAAGTCTCATCACACCTTATGACTTTGAAGTATAACTTACTTAGCTAACTTTCTGGGTATGAGATGTTTATCTTCTTATTTGCCTAAGCAGAGTGGGAAACAGGAAACAGGATTTTGCTGGCAGTGCTGGGCACAACTCCTTCTAAATTTTAAAGGCTGTTGGCTCCTTCAATCCATCTCAATCTCCAGTGATTTGTCATAAAGACACTTCTACCTCATTCCTTACAACATTAACCATGTGTAAATATCTTTCTGAGACTCAATGACTGCTAAAAGGCTCTCCCAAAACTAGAGTGAATTACCTTTGTACCCCTTTGGACCCAAAGCTCCTGGCAGCCCTCTTTGTCCAGGCTTCCCTGGGGCCCCAGTCCTTCCATCCAGGATTGTGTCTGGGGAAAATGAAGGGCCTATATGCAGAAAGAAGGCAAGCAAAAGCCATGAGAAGGCTAGATTTCCAGCTCATTAAATACTAAAAAGGTCAGTTATACAACTGACAGAAATGCCACTGGATAACACTGCAACACAAGGAGATAAAACTTGGTTGGTATCACGGGCTGCATTCCTCTTCTATATGTTTGCTTCTAGCTTCTCACACAGAAAAGTAAAAGCTCTTATAGTGTGGATGTAACAGTTTCATTCCTCTACTGCTCTACCTTCGCACTTTTTCAAAGACTTAACAGCTGGCTGAAGGACTAACAAATCTGTGAACAGGTTGTATAAAGAAGGGCAAATAAGTCAGTTGATGACAGATGTGCCTTTACAGCTCTGGGAGAAGCTGAGACTCATACGGATAGAAGTTGAATGGATAAATCAATGTATTGATGATTGTGACGACTGGCTATTGCACTTTTTGTTGCTACAGAAACAATCATACGAGAGCAGTGTCTCTGCTGCTGCTGGCACACTAGAGTCATCCTCAGGGCTACCTGCCTTCTGCAGAGTTCCTCAGCTTCTCGTGAAGGCGCTAGAGCTAAGGAAAGAGACTAAATGGCAAAAAGGTTAAGGGGAACTTCCCTGTCCCTATCTTTATAGCTGCAGGATTATTTTCTATATCTCTTTATACTCTGAATAGAATGAAACATGAGCTGACAGAAACAGCAGTGGAAAGTGATCTACCATAATCTAAAACTACCGTGTTTGAAAACCCTCCCCCTCAATGACAACAGTAAGATGAGGGTGCTGACTAGCACCCATCTGATGTTATACGGAAACAAACTGCAACCATCAGCTACACGCAGCTACAAGAGTTCTATAGACTCTGCAGAAAAATGAGCTGGACTTGACTAGCAATCAGTTATTGATAAGAGAGCACTTATTTCTTCTCCACAGAAAATAATTTCATCAGATCATGCTCACTGGCTCCATCACTGAAGTGTGCCCTGTTTTGAAAGGTAGCCCTCAAAAATAAAACAGGCTATTTGAACTCAGTTTATTGCAGAAGAGTAAAACACAAGGTTTGTGTAAAAACAAGTGTTTTTCATGTAATACTCGATTTCTGAGGAAAACAAAACAATGCATAATTAATCCAACCAGAGCACCCATACAAATGAATATGTAAAAATAAATCTCATTTCCCTAAGTCTGAAAATTGTCTCTTTAGGCATTCTATCTGACTCCTGGTACCCAAGACTAGCCATTTAGTCTAGGTGCTCATAAGGTCATAGTCTTTTCTTTGTCTAAGCCACGAAGAGACTAGCCTAGCACTTCAAAGTCCTCTATGGCATAAATTGTGTCTACACAAGCTTGTCTTTCAGTTTCTTGGGCTACCACTCTTACTAACAATTAGATGTATTTTCTTACTTCAGAGGGATAGCTGCTGATACATAAATTTAAAACTGTGAGTTACATCACAATGAGGTATCACTCAAACATTTAAGATTTACAGATGAATAGTCCTCACTGGCAAAAAGCCAGATGGATAAACAATTATTTGTCTTGTTTCAGTCTGAATCCAATATAAAAATAGATGTTTAAAATGTACATACGTGGTGAACCAGGCAATCCTGATGCTCCTGGGAGACCTGGTAAACCATCTCTGCCAGGAGTGCCTGGTAGTCCAATCATTTCTCTTCCTGGTTCTCCCACTTCACCTTTCACACCCGGAATACCTGGAGACCCTCCAGGGCCCATCCCATCTAGACAACAATGACACAGTGAGCAGCAATCCAGGAGCAAACACATTCTACTATTTTTCATGTTATGAAAATTACTGTTGTGCTCTGAACTGCAACCATGTTAACACAGAACAATCTGTAATTTCACACAAAGGAAAACTTACTAATTGGAGGCACCAGCTGGCTCCAATTTACGCATTCTTCTGATCATCCAAAAAACTTCACAGAGCTGCATTTAAGTCCCACTGATCAGCCAGACAATTAACTAGATAAGACTGCAATTTACTTATTATTTGGATTCCTTTGAAGGAGATAATTTCCATGGTAGTTCCTAGCCTTCGGATCACTGAAGGCCAGGACTTCACAGATGACATTCAGGTGAAACAGAAACGTTCAAGCGAGATCTTTGATGAGACAAATGGACTCCAACTACAGTGGGTTTAACTAGCTAATAGGTTAACTATTGCAAAAAATGAAAGTCATTAAAAATAATTTTAAAAAACATTTATTATTTAAAACGTAGAAAACGTTCTGCCAATCAACTCATTTCAAATGGAAATCAACCAAGCAACCTGCTACGTATACTGCTACACTAAATATTCACACTTGAAAACTTAGCTTGGCTGTAATCATAGTGGAACTAATTCTGCTTCTATCCAAGTCAACATACTTGGCGTCCTGGTGTGTCATCTTTGCCTCCTACATCTCATACAGCATTCCACAAATCAGCCAGTTGAAGGTGGAGGGAGAGGCTTCTTCCAATACCTTCACAATCTCCAGGCCACTACTCAGAATCAGCTCAGCAACAAACACTGAAAATAGCACTGTTAGCAGCTGCTTTACCTCTCTCCAAGCCTGGAAACCCTGGAGCTCCTGGAAGGCCTGGTAAACCACTGATCCCTTCATCTCCTGGAGGACCAGGTATTCCCGGGTTTCCAGGGTCACCCAGGGCACCTATTAGACAAATACAGAAAAACAAAGAGGAAAATCTCATGAGAGCTTCTGCTGAAAGCCCCTGTTCAGCCAACTACCCTGGTGGCCACTGATCTCATTGATAGCAAAGGTGCAAAACCTTTAGCAGTAAGCCTGTTAGTCAAAGTTAATAATAATGGGAAAAATTCCTCCTGACTTGTTCGAACGTGACTGTATGTGAAAGAGGAAGAGTATGAGAGATTTTATAATTTGTCCCCTTAACTTTATAGCTTCAGAGACTGCTCCCATCCAGGCCTCATTTAGCCGTAGTGTTAATTAAGCTAATTTTCTGAACAACATTCTTACCACATTGAAAAACAAATAATAGCAGAAGGACATTCAGGGTACGCATTTCCAAGCAACGTGAAAAAGCTATTTTTCCTTAGTCACTGAAGAAAGGCTTAACAGGTAGACACACATCACTTACCCATGCTCAGACACAGTCGGCCTCCTAGGCACTAAATTTCATTTTGCCTTGAAACATATAATTCTGCAGTGTGGGGGATGGAAGGTTTATTGTAAACTCTGATCTTGGGAGAAAACGGGAGAAAACTTGGGAGAAAATCTGTATGCCAACAATACAGAAATTAAAGGCAAAATAACAAGAGTTGGGCTATATCTAAATATACAATGTGGAAAAGCAGTAAAACATAATAAGAAAGGGAGCTGAATCAGAAAAAGTGCTTTAGGTGAGTTCTAAAACAAAATGGAGATATGTACCTGAAATGACTACACCTTCCCTGTCAATAACGATAGGAGGGCCTGGGGGACCAATGTCACCTAATTCACCCTGTAGAAGAAAACAGATTGTCAGGAAACAGACTGTATTACGATAGCAATGTCTTTGGTCATTCACTGACTAACCATCATTCTTTGTCTTTGTAAAGAACTCACTTAGGTGTTCTGCTATTCACAATCATGAGCTGTTCTGACTTACCAAAGTCCTGTCTGATGAAACTGACGGCTGTTTCAGACAAAGTGTTTGCTACTATGCAGCTGTTCTCTGAAGGCATCCCATTATCACAATAGGAAGCATGTATACACCATGTGTACTGGAGCCCAGTTATCGTATCAGCATAGCAATAAATATCAGGTAGACCCTATCCATTCACCTTGTGGTAAAAGTGAAAAAGCTGCTATGAATGCACCCATTTTTTAAAGCATTAATCACTGCAGCTATCTGCTGTATCGGGATTCTGAATTTCTGTAAGAGGAAAATACATTCGTCCATAAAATCACCCAGGTAGAACAAGCAGGTTGTGCCAGAGTGCAGTATCATTCCTTCCTCTCACTCTAACACAGTATCAAACCCTCCTTGATATAACAAGTGCAAAATCTGACTGTTGCCCAAATTGCCATCATAGTTATCATATAAACACCATGCAGTGAGCCAAGGCAATGCATACTTTGTTGCTTCTTCCAGTAATACTCCTCTGTGCATAAACCTGTACTACTACTTCTTCCATGTGCTCTGCACAAAAAAAACCCTTCAGTAGTCACATTTCACCAATCTTGGCAGCAGAGAAGCGTTCTTCACAGCAAACTGTTTTCCAATCATTTTCCACTCAGATGTCTGGCTGCCCATGGTGAGAGATACTCAGAAAATGTCTTGTATGCATTGCCTATCTCCAGTAAAAAATTGAACATGTTATTTTTAGGTTTGACAATATTTGTAGATTTGTGGTCTAAGTCTTCAGACAGCTTTGGCAAGTATTTTAGCATCCACTTACTTCCATCTAATCTTGCCTCAGTTGTCCAGTAAGGATGGCATTGATGTAAGGGTAAAGGGAATCAGAGAGACTACAATTTTAAGTCATGAAGTTACACGAATAAACACTGTAAAGGTATCCAAATATTTGAATGTTCATAGTTCAGCAACGATTCCTTTTTTATCCTTAACAATAAAGTAAATGAGGAACTGAAACATGCTGAAAATTACAGTGCTACAGAGGTAAGGAAGAGATTTGACTGGTGCAACAATACTTATTTACTCATGCAAATATCTTTAGAAAAACAATGCTTTTGTATTTTTATGTGAGAAGTTACCTTCATGCCTTCGACTCCATCCAGTCCTGGATGGCCTGGAATACCTGGATGACCCTGCGAAGTCACACAGGGGAACACTGTTACACAGTGAGACAGTAAGACAGAGGCATTATTTGTTAGCTGAGACATCTGCAGTGCCTGGACTTGAATCATAAACCAAATTCATTGTCCTACCAAACATTTGCAGAAAAAATAAAGAAAGAGAAAACTGATGGCATCAACTTTTCAGTACTCAAAAAATACCAGAGCTCCTTTAGGCCTCCTTGTGCTGTAAAGATGGTGAGAACTTGTGAGCAGGCATGACTGGACACAGATCACAAGGACACACTGGAGTTCTCATAGAACCACAGAAATGCTGGTGGAGTGAGGAGTCTAGAACACTATCTTCCCTGTCCCCTACACTTTACCCTCCACTCTGTCCCCTCTCCGATAACTTATTCGCAAGAAAACATTTAAAGTGACACTGGGATATCCAGCTTTCCAGCTACTCATTTCCTCGTAGCATTCTCAGAGACATCAAAATTCTTCTTCCGGGTGTGTGACTAGAAATCTACAGCAGACAAAAAATAGAATATTCCAAGAGCTCTGGAGCAGGGAAACTTAACTTTAAATCTTGCCTGTGATTTTGAAGACTTGGACGGCTGTAGGCACCAATATAGTCACTACACAATATTTCTGAGAAACCTGACATCAAGGGCTTGTTTTTAATCACATGATTTTAACATATAAATATGAATCAGATTATACTGGAATCACATTCACCATATCTTGAAAAGGGACATACATAATACAAAATACACAAGAAAGTGACTGAATTTCAGGCTGCAAAATGAAAATTTTGTTTCTGAAAGTTGCTTTCTTGAACAACCTCCACTGCTGTATCTGCAAGTAAAAGTGCTTTAACATGTTGTATTGGGTCAGGCTGAGGTGGAGTCAATCTCCCCATAGCAGCTCTCTCAGTGCTGGTTGGTTTTCTTTTTTTTCCTTGGAGTGGTAGGTAGAAGGGTGTTGATAGCACCCCAGTGTTTTGGCTACTGCTGAGCAGTGCTCACACAGCACCAAGGCTGTGGTTTGTTTTTTTTTCCCCAACGTTCCCCCAACAGTAGACTGGGGGTGGGCAACATCTTGGGAGGGGATACAGCCAGGCCCGCTGACCCAAACAAACCAAAGGGGTATTCCATACCATATGACATCAGCTCAGACATAAAAGCAAGAAGGAAGAGGGAAGTGGGAGGGCATTCGCTGTTTGAGTGCGTACTGGAGCCCTGCCTCCTGCAAAAGCGGCCGGACATCGCCGACTGATGGGAAGTAGAGAATAATCTTTGTTTTGCTTTGCTTCTGCGCGTGGCATTTGCTATTGCTTTATTAAACTGCTTTTTTATCTTAACCCACAGGCCTCTTTTTTACATCTTCCCTCTCCCCTGTCCATCTAAAAGGGGAGTGACAGAGCGGCTTTGGTGAGCTCCTGGCCTCTGGCCAGGGCCAAACCACCATACACGTTTTCAGCCACTCAATCACCTGGCCATTTCCACGCCAACAGGTGACAAGTGGGAGAGATAACTGTTCCAGGCATGAATGTACAATTTCCAATCTGTGCACGTGGTCCTCCAAATATGCAGGGATAACTAGACAGACAGTTAAAGGGATCTAGAGTTTTACATGGACTTTCTAGCTATCTCTCACTAGTTTAATAAGGCAGGTGCACGCATCCATCAGAGAACTTCAAGTCATTTGGTAAGGAAGTCAGTAGAACTTAAGTAGTTAGATGGTTTCTGTAATTCTAAGTACAGTAAAAAATAAATTTCACCTTTCTCCCTGGAATTCCATCAGATCCATCCAGTCCCAAAAGACCCTAAAACAGCAAAAAACTGTTAACTTTCAGAGGCTCCATCTCAGTCTGGTCTTATTATGTCAGGCTCCAAATATCTCAGCACCGAAGAATGAAAAGGTAAAACTTTCAAAAGGAGAAGCTACAACTCATTTTTCACATCTTCCAAATATTAACAATCATAATTGAAAGAATTCAAAAAAATAACTGATAAAAGAAGTCTTATCTTCTTAAGTCATTGTCTTTCTAATCAGCAGTTCAAATTAAGTAAATCACGGTGTCTCAACTCACTAAGAATCACAGAATCACAGAATGTCAGGGGGTGGAAGGGACCTCAAAAGATCATCTAGTCCAACTCCCAAACAAAGAACATAGATAGGCAGTTTGCAGTTATAATGCCATGAAGCTTAATGCAATCAAGACTTTCTATCAGTTCACAATTTATTCTGCACATGCAGAATGAACATCTTGGTCTTCTTGTTGTGTCTAAGCACCTCTCTGCTGGGTCATGGTGGTTTGAAGAATCTATGGCTGGCGTGTGACTGAGCATGCTGTTGACTTCCACATTCCTTGATTAGTTAGACCAACATCTATTGCCAGCTTCCTCATTTCTTGCCCAAATATCTGTGTTCTTTCATGGCTGGTTCTGGCACTGCTTAAATGCTCCCTAAAGCCCCTGCAATGCCTCTATTATCTCCATTTGGATCTCCTGCAAGCTTCCTTTTTTGAGAAGCTTCCAAAAGAACTGGAAAAAACCCAGGCCTTGCAGTATCAAGAACTCTAATAAATACTTTTCTATGACCTTCTTGAACTGCCTCTTCTGTATACATCTTTAATCTCACTGTTAGTTGAGATAAGATCTATTGGTTCTGTTGCTGTATGGCGCTGATTACTATGTGACCCAGTCCTATGTCTTGAGACACTTACATGCTTTGGGAATACTTCTGCTGATGGAAGACCCCCCTCATGTATTTGAGAACAAGAGTTTAAGGACTTCCCAAAGTTACCTACCCTGGCACCGGGTAAGCCAGGCACACCTTTTTCTCCTTTTTCTCCAACACCTCCGAAGCCCTGAGGAAAAATGTCACCCTTAAATCCGTGATCTGTTTGTAATTGAACCGCAAAACCCATAAGACAAAACAAGTGCAAACCCATCTATTAATATAAATATATAAAGGAAAATGACTAATCCTGCTGGGATACTTTTGCCCCAGAAAGAAAATCTGTATCAACCAGACTTGGCAGTATGTGCAGTACATTATCTTCTTCATTCCCCATGACTTCATTGAAACGATGACATATCTCTCATTTCAAATGCAGATAACCCCATGGTATAAAACAGCAAAGTCCTGTCACTGATACTTTAGAAATTATTTCATATCTCATTTCTTAACAGCAGCAGCTCAAGGGAGTGCTCAGAGCACCCGTTTTCATTTCTAAAGCCTAAGAATGACACAAATTTGCCATTGTCATTTTGTCAGCAACATTTGGCAATGTTTCATGGTTTTCCCGGTCAGTAAGAAGTATCAAATCTAGAGATAGAGCACCAGGATTTAATTTCAGCAAGAGTTACAGTAGCTAAGCAATTTTCAGGCTTCAGTCTTGAAATATCTTATGATTGTGGTTAAGCTCACAAAAACGTTCCAGCTCCATCAGCTTCAACGGGCCTCTTGTGATGCATAAAGCTTTATACGCACATAACAAAACATGTCCAGAAAGACTAATAACAAATTGTGCTTCATGTATGGGTTTTTCTTTCATGTCTGGCAAACAATTTATCTTATTAGTCAGAAGTTCCACAAAATATTTATTCCTTAAACTTACTAAAATAACCTTTGTTAAAGAAAGGTTATAAGCTGGCAAATAGCTCCCTGGAATCCAAGGATAAATTGCTATTCTTGATTCATACAGAGAAGACGCTACACATTCCTGAGTTTATGAGCACTAATGTTAAAGAGCCCATTTTAAAACTGAATATATAGAGACAAACAGAAAGATCTGCATGTGCTTTACAACTTTGAAGTAATATAACAAAAATTAAGTTTAGACATTATTGAAGGAAAAAATAGGTTGGTTTTTTTTTCCTTAAAAATACGTGTAGCTCTCTGCTGGATATCAAGAAACACTGCCATCAAGTGGCCATGCGTATGTCTACTTGCATGTCTCTGCAAATTGCAGATGACATGTACTGAAATGGTGGTATCTGCTTTGTGGTGTTCATAGTAGGACAGCATTGTATCTCCAGGGAAAAAACACTACTGGATTACAGTTACACTCCTCCAAAAGTCTTGTGGACATTTTTATCAGATTTTCACAGTACTCTGGTGCCTAGAAACTCCTGTAGAGGCCTTGTGAGCTATTCAGAGGGTGTTGAACATCTAACCCCTACTAGGCATATATTAAAAACTCTCCTCTGTCCTTACCGGCACGCCAGGCAATCCAGTGTGTCCAGGGAATCCTTGAGGGCCTGGCTCACCCTGACAAGGGAAAGCGGTAAACATAATAAATCACTGTGCCCTTGTAAGCTAGACTTTCCCCAATCCACCTGTCACGCTCTTGACTCCTAAAGTAAGGCCTTGTAATTTTTTTGTCAGCAAGCACACTTGATTTGTGTCATCATGTGCCAGATATAGTGCCAGTGCAAGCGACGGGTTGTCTGTGACCACTTCTTCAAAGACCACTACTTGAGAACTGTTGTTCTACTGTCCTTGACGAGTAGAATTCAAACTAGAAGCATCTAGGGAATTGGAACATTTACAGTACTTCATGGAAAGCAGCAAAATAACACACGATGAAGTAGCACAATGTCTTCATAATCCTGCTGACAAATTCAAGAGTGAGCCAAAAAGAACAGCGTTTGTTTGAATCTCACCTCACACTAATGTAACTCCACCAGGCAAGACAATACCTCTCCTGACTTATGCAGGGGCTTAGGCAAGCTTAGACTGGGCTCCCAAACCAGCATGTGTACGTCTCAGATTAATTCAGTACGTCTGAATTTCATGTGTGAAGAAAATCTTTAACTTGAGATCCATACAGCTTTTGTAAGAACATTGATGAGTTAAATATGTATCTCAGTAAATGCCAGGATAACAAAGGAAAAGAAAAAAATCTGATTATTTCAGAGTGGTGTGCATCAGAGCCAAAGCAAAAGCACTGGAGCTTTTTATCTATTTTTCTAAATGGATTTGGGTTTTTTGCTTCAGTTGACACCATTTCACACGTCCAACAGAAACAAACTACAGTTCATTTATTTTTAGATTAATGATGAAAACATTTAAATAGCTTTCAGATTTCTCCTGAGAGGTATGCATTCTCCAGTGGTCCACAATGCTTTGAGCTAAGAGTATTTTTACTTAATAGCCATTGGGGCTGATTAAACTAGTACAGAAAATCATTTTGATCTGGAAATATATCAGCACTCACTATCCAGTAATTTCATTCAGCCTTGAATGAAGGAGCATGGGGAGGGTGAAGGTTTGTAAACTGAATTTACAGACCTTTTCTCCTTGCTTCCCTTTTGGAAAGCCCATGAATTCCAGTATTCCAGTGGATGGTGGGGGACCTGGAGGGCCAGGCAGCCCTACATCGCCCTGTTGGCAAAAAATAAAGCTATTAACACATGAAGAATGTTTGATTTTCCAAGAAAGTAGTTTGTAAATGAGAAAAAAGCCACTTTAATTATATCACATGTACATAACGTCTGTGTGCCTGAATGCTGGCATGGGAGTTAGGTCACGGATGTCTGAAGATCAGATTGAAAATTTAGAAAAACAAAATCCATTAAATCAGTTTCAGAAGAGTTGTGAACATGAAACAAAAAGGCTTAGATTTTGAATCAACAGGAAAACATTCCAGAAAATGTGGAGGGATATGAAAGAAAAGAAGACAACAAATAATTAGAAACAAAGAATGCTGAGATGATCTTAGCAGCAGAATCAAGCCCGAAATTGAGAACTTTGAGAAGCCCCATTATGCCAGTGCAAATTCTCACAGATTGCAGAACATCCATTTAGAATAGTGAGACTACACATCAGTTGACCTGAAGAATATTATGAAAGTCAAAAAGAAGGAAGACAATAGACTAATTAAATATAAGAAGTGAGGGTCCAAAGAAACGGATAGAGATTCAAAAGATATCTAAGGATCTCATATACCAATAAGCATGAAAATACTGTGTTGAATTGAGATTCCTCTTCCCCCTCTTCATCCTGAAAAAGCTCCTATCCTTTTTTTTATGCACCAACACATAAGGAACCAGCAAGATTCTTCAGTCAATTAGTCCAAGGGATTAAAAGAAAAAGAAGAAAATGCTAGAATCCAGGCACTTTCTAGAGGATCAAGCTACAATGGGACCCTATGCTCTTTACGTAACAGAACAAGTTTCACCTACCTTCTCTCCCTTCTCTCCTTGAAAGCCTAATCCCATGTTACCCTAGAAGAGAAAAAGATGGATGAGCAAATAATAAAACAACAGCAGCAACAGTAACACAATCTCCACCCACAGGACCATTAAAAAAAGTCAATGAACAGGTGTAGAAAGAAGACAAGAAAGGTAGGTACTTACTTTCGGACCTGGTGGCCCAGGGGGACCCATTGGACCCTAAATGCGAGCAAGATCAAGATTTTATTTCTTTTGACTTAATTAGGATGCACACAACTGAAGCAATGCTGGGATCTGCTGTGGTACCTGAACTTCCATCTCTCTCAACTGAACTCATCATCCCCCAAGCAAAAGTAATTGATACACTTGATCTTTAAGTCTTTACATCTGTAATAGATAGACTTTGTATCCTTTGGTACTGTGGTTAATTAAGAGCAAACTTCAGTTTAAAACCAACAAACATCTAGTTATTTTTTACCTCTGCCCAAAGGAAACTCTTTCTTGAAAAAGCAACTCTTCAGCATATTTCACGATGGCAAAGGTTTCAAACATGCAGAGGTCACCATATTCCCTCTAGTCCCAAGATGAGGAAGTGTGTAGAACAGTATAATGTAGTGTAATATAGTATAGTCGAGTATAAAGCACTCCAGGGTCTTGCTGGAGCCCCTGTTCATGAATGCTGCTCTGAACATTGCTCTAGAGAGAAGTCCTCCCTCTTGTGATTAAACTATCTAAGTTCAAGTATTCTGTGCTTGAAGTCAGCTGTGCTCAGTCCTTTTAGATGCACACACACTTCTGCTCATTGTCGTGACATGAATATGGACAAGGAGGGAAAACTGTCAAGATTTTGAACTGCTCTATGAACAAGTGCAACAGTTGAGGTCTCTTACCTGTAACCCTGGTAATCCTATAGAGCCTGCAGAACCAGTTCGACCTGGAAAACCTTTTAGGCCCTGTAAGAAGAACACAGGACAAATATAGAACATGCAGAACTTACCCTATCCAACCTCAACCAAAGATGAGTCTCAGGAAACATTAAGTAATACCCCCTAATGAAGCAGGCCTACTTAAATACTGTAACAATCCTTATCATATTATTAGGTGCATTTTGAAAACCAGAGTTACAGCATTGAATGGTAAAGGGAGTTTGATTTGAAAAAGGAAAATTGGAACAGAAAACAGCAAAAATCTGACTTCCTCTACCATAATGTGGATCCACTCATACCATCACGAATCTGGAATTGCTTATGCTACTGGTATTACAAATGTAAATACATAGCCCACTAATTTCAAGTGTGTCCTTGAGAATCAATACAAGGAAAATTACCTACTTAGTATTCTTAAAAATCATTAACTCCCCAAAATAACTTACAGAAATTCCATCCAATCCAGGAAGACCGTTTTCTCCCTAAAAATTAAAAATATATTAGTAAAAATTACACTATGTTACTGCGACAAACAAAAAGCAATATTTCACTTTGTATAAATATTTGCTGAAATATTTGCTGTTAGCTAATATTAGGTCAAGTATAAACTGGAAAATACTTTGACACCTATGCTTCCATATTTAAATTGGGTAATGGAGAGATTTCAAAACTTCAGAGAAACTAAAGTGGCATAAAAATATTTGCATTAATTGTAAAATCACTGAAAAATACACTATAAAAACTTTCATTACAAAACCACTATAAAATACGTAAAATAATTTCATTATTATATCAAATTATCTATATTTCCCATAAGTAATGAAGTAAATAAATAAAGATCTATTTAACTTTTGCCAACTTATGAGTGTTTATACTGTGTTTAGAATTTATAAAAGTTCGTAATTTTGACCAGCAAAGTCAGTGTGAGAAGCTTTATATGTCAGAATAAATTTCTTAGTATTTTCAGTATATAATGAAGCACAAGGCTGTTAAATAATGGTAAATTCAATATCATGAGAGGTACCAAATCCTTTGTAGATTTATTCCAAACCTAGCACTTCCAGCAAAAATCCATGGTAAGCTTGTGAGTGTTTGTTTCAAGGCAACAAAGAACCAATCTTTTACATAAGCATATTCAAGAATCTATTCACTGTTCTGAACAATAAACTGAAATTGTCTATCTATAGTTTGTATTTTCTGTACAGGACATAAAACTATAGACTTGATACAGACATTTCAGGGTGAGGTCCCTATTAAACAGAGACAGTAAAATTCTCACTTCACAGAGCCAAAGGATGGAATACTACGAGTGGGATATGATATTCACGTATTTAAACTGAGGATATAATGCTCACTAGTACATCCCAGCTCAAAAAACACTGGGAGACAGCTGGGATCTCACAGCAGAAATCTTAACATGCACTTGAGTTTCCTGAGCTGTTACGCCAACGTATCTGGCATGTGCAAAGATGTCAGCTACAGGAAGGTTCCGAGTGGAGGTGAAGAGACCCTTCTCTGCTACATCTGCGTCTAGAAACACATATGCTACCTCATATAAGTTAGAATAAGCTTAAAAGAAATTCCTCACATCCAGGGTTGGACACCACAAAGGCATGGTGCTAGCTCTGCAGAGACAAGTGAAGGACCAGCAATTACACTGAACAGTAACAGGATGACTAACACCTCAGCATCTCAGTACAGGATGAACAAGTTCTCTGAAAACACTGAGCAATTCCAAGTTCTGAGAGTATTCTGCACTGTCATTAATGAAGTTATTGTAAGGCCTTTTTCACAGCTCTGCATTCAGACATAGCCAGGATACTCAAATCTAACATTACGAGTAATCTAACCTGCAGCATCAGCCCTGCAAGGACATCAAAGTGTTTCCTGTACTGCATTTTATCCTATGTGATGACAAGTCTTACCTTCATTCCTTTAAGACTGCCTTGAGCAAAAACAGGTTCTCCTTTAAGGCCTTTTGGGCCAGGATGACCCTGTTTTTAAAAAAATAAAATAAAAATACTGATTTAGTTTTGAAAGCATTTATATTCAGCAAAATGAACAAGGCAAACTCCTAGCTCCAGTAAACTACAAAAGTACACTGTGCAGCTTTGTCAAAGAAGCTGCGGTATCATGAGAACTTATGACTTCCTGCAGCTTTAGAAGAACAAGGTTCTGCAAACATTTTCTCCAATATTTTCCTGTTTATATTAGATTTTTTTTTTATGCCTTTTCAACTTTTAAGATGCTATTTCAATCTGGTTTTGAAATTGCTTAGAATCAATGAGAGAAAAAAATGAAAGAACACATGAATCATAGTATGTTTTGGGTTGGAAGGAATCTTTAGAGGTCATCTAATCCAATCTCCCTGCAGTGAGTAGGGTCATCTTGAAGTAGATCAGTTTGCTTAAACCTTAAAAGTTTCCAGGCATGAATCTTCTGAAAAAGCTGCCATTACATTTCTAGATTTACTCAATTTATTTTAAATCCTCCCATCTAATTTATCTGAGGTGATTTCATGTAATTGTCAACCTAATTTGAGCAGAGTTGGCTGATCCAAACAGGTTTACTTGCCAAAACTGTAATCCTAAAAGCACTACAGCATAGCAATTTGAGTAGCAGGTCAGAGTATATCAGCTACTCTAGAAAGCAGTACTCTAATTTGATCTTACTGCTTCAGCATTTTTTAATATCATATGAATTTCAAGTCTGGATGACATGTAAAGATGTCTTAGCACAGTTTGGAAATGCTGAAACAAATGACATTATTTACATCCACCAGCTGTATTTTCTTTCTCTTCTTCACGTATATGTGCGAAGGAGTTCCATTAAATGTATGATTAGTCACGTGACCTGTGTTCGTAAGATCAGTTTTTGAATGTGAACAAATACTAAAATACGATTCCATGATTTGCTTAATATTTTAATATCAAGTCAAACATTTTTTCCTTACACTTCAAAAATAATCACATACTTCTATAAAGCGTGTAAGAGTGGAGTTCTTATAACTAATCCTACCCACTTAAAACTGAAGGTAGACCATGACACAGCTACCTTCACTTCCTCTACAGTCAATACAGAAAAATGGCTATCTCCAAAGTCAATTCATCGTGAAAGGTAGAGGGAGAGAACAGCTCTTGCAAGAACCATTCTCTGTAATGGGAGTTCAGATGAATGGATTAGACACATAACTTTAAGATGTCAAATGCAGGCTAGATAAAACTCCAACCTGGTAGAAAAATGTTTTCAGAAGTAAAACATATACCTGGCAAAGTAAATCCTACTGATACTCAGTGAGACTGAAGCTTTTGCCTATCAGGACCTGAAGGCAGGCATCTAATATCTGATGCATAAACTTGAGGATCTGGTAACATCCTTTCCTGAATCACCATCCACTAACTTGAAACGTGCCAGGTGGAAGATGTTTGACACTTCATGGTTCTTCAAAACTTCATCATGGTTTCTGCTGAGTTAGCTCCAATACTGCCAGTGACAATGGTATAACTTGGTGTGGGAACATACTGAATTCACAGAATCTTCACTTTACTGTCAGAGTAGAATTACGGTAAGAAAACGATACTGAGTTCTAACAATGCTAATTAACTTAGAGTTTCTAGAGTTCTTCCTAAGTACTTCGGAGTTACTTTTCCAACAACGGCTTAGTGACTACAAAACACCATACTAGTATTGGGACGTACAGGCAGCCCCGGTAGGCCAGGAAACCCATCTGATCCAGAAATGCCAGGACTCCCAGTGGTACCATTGCAGCCATCGAGACCAGGCAGACCTCTAGGTCCAGACTGCGCAGGGTGACCCTGTATAAAAAGGAAAAATTGAGAATAAAAACAAGTATCTTCCAAATGGCAACACAAAGCAAAAGAAAGGCACAACTCCCACTCAAGTTCAGTTTACGATAGACTACACCACAACTAGTTTCTTTGGCCAGCATTGTTTATCCTCCCTAAAGCTTAAAACCTGGAACATTGTCTGCATTCATTCAATTACCTTTTTCTCCAAGTGATAATTTGCTGAAGTACATAACTTGTGCATGAGTAAGTCTGAAAAGGGCAATACTCATCCCACAGCAGTCAGAAATATATGGCATATAACAAAACATAAAACACACAAGGCTGCACCTGACACCAGGAATGAAAGTTGCTCAGATGAAAACAAGTGCAACAATACTGAGCATTTATAATTCCAATCTGCTTAAAGTTTCAGTGATGACTTTTCCTGTCCAGTGTAGATTCCTTCCCTTAACAGCTCAACAGATGTTATAGCTCCAGCATCAGCCCATTCAAGCAAAACAGCTTTGCTTGTTATATGAACTTAAAACCTTAGGCAAAGCAACTAGGGGAAAGACCTAATTAAAATAACAGCATTTAAAAGAAAATATTTGCAGTGGTCAATTATTAGTCAAGCAGAATAGAACTGTACCTAATTCTGATTTCACACCTCTTTTGCCCTCATATAGCTCTATTAATTTTACTGGAGGTTACTCATCATGGTACTGGTGCAAAGGAGATCAAAGTTTGAGTCTTTAGCTACTTTTTCTTTAGTGTCATATGGGTGTGTACAGGCAAAATACAGGCAAAACTGTCAGTGACACTACTCGGGTTTCAAGTAGCTCCTTATTCTATCCTCCTTTTCATAGGAATGAATGCTGTGGCACTCAAAAATGTATTTTGTGGCAGGAAGAGAAATGAAACTAATGGAAATAGCATCAGTAACTAACAGTTCTCTCACTCCCCTCTGTACTCCCTGACCTTGACTCATCCCAATAGCACTTTTGTTTGATTCCAAAGATTCATCCTTAAGATACGGCATGAAACAAGTTATGACTCACACCAGGAAAGGAAAAAAACAAACATGGATAAAATGGCGATAAAGCAGAACATCTACAATCCTTTGTGCCTGACACTTAAAACAAAACACATTTGTGCCGCCAAACAACTTTCCAGTCCAAGCCAATAGCATATGCTCTGACCAATCTCAATGACAACTTTGCAGGAATGTAAAGCCTTTTATCTAAGGATCTTAAACTGGCTTGAAAAAATGTGGGAATGCCATTATTTTCATTTTACAGATGAGAAGCTGGAGGCACACAGTAGCAGAGTGACTTTCTCAAGGATACAGAGCAACTTAAGCCATAATTAATGTAACTGCTCAAGCTGATCACTGGTCTTAGCTGCTGCCAAAAGGGCCATTGCACATGCCTGCTTACTCACAGGTATCTCTTCCCTGTGCTGGCATAAGCAGAGGCAGAATAGGCGAGTCAGAGCAGGGAACCAACACAGCAGAGAAATAACTGTTCTGTCTCTTAATGGGGTTAATTTTCAGCCAGATGAGTTCCTTGGTCCAGCTCATTTGGCAACTATATTGCAATTTGTGCCAATAAATGGAAAGAAGAAGCGAGAGCCCAGATCTACTCTCTGTCAGTCAATAAGGTGCAAACTGAATGAATGTAAAGTGTATTTCCATTACAGGACCAAGGCAGCTCACCCAGACACGTATAAATTTGAGATTAAATAAGGCCTTAGGGCATAGGATAAGCCACCTCAAATCACTAGCTTCAGGCACCACTGCATACATAGTACCAGTTGCCCTGATGATTAAAGTATGTTTGTCAAAACACCCATATGTGGTATTCAAGCTAGACTTGCTAGGCCCTGGTAAAGCGACAGGAGAAGGCTGAAGCACCAATTTACAGAATCACAGAATCACAGAATTGTTGAGGCTGGAAAAGACCTCTGAGATCATCAAGTCCAGCCTATGACCCAACACCATCACATCGGCCAGATCATGGCACTAAGTGCCACATCCAGCCTCTCCTTAAACACCTCCAGGGGCCGTGACTCCAGCCCTTCCCTAGGCAGTGCATCCCAGTGCCTGAGCACCCTCTCCCTGAGGAAGGGCTTCCTGAGATCCAACCTAAACCTCCCCTGACGCAGCTTCAGGCCATGCCCTTTCGTCCTGTCACTGGATGCCCGGGAGAAGAGCCCGACCCCACCTGACTGCAACTTCCCTTCAGGGAGTTGTGGAGAGTGAGAAGGTGCCCCCTGAGTCTCCTCTTCTCCAGGCTGAACATGCCCAGCTTCCTCAGCCTCTCCTCACAGGACTTTCCCTCCAGTCCCTTCCCCAGCCTCGTCACTCTCCTCTGGACCCGCTCCAGCCCCTCAGTGTCTTTCTGGCAGTGAGGGGCCCAGACCTGCACACAGGGCTCGAGGGGAGGCCTCCCCAGGGCTGAGCACAGGGGCAGAATCACATCCCTGCTCCTGCTGGCCACACTGTTCCTGACACAAGCCAGGATGCCATTGGCCTTTCAGGACACCTGGGCACCATGCTGGCTCATGCTCAGCCAGTTGTCAACCCGTACTCCCAGGCCACTTATGCTTGTCACTAAGAAATCATTTCATTTGGTTCCCAAAGCTGGAATGGGTCAGTGGCAACTCGCTCTCCTTCATCTACACGGGATGCCACAGCAGCAATTATCTGACATGACAAGCTGTGACTGCAGCAGGAGGCCAGAGTGGTCAATGTCTACCAGATGTTTTGCTTTGTTTACAGCATCAACAAAACCAGAAGCTATGAAGGACAAGCGCACATGTATCTGGTTACAACATATGGTGATGACCAGCTGCAGGGTTTAGTGAAGCTGAACAGTCAACATCTGCCTCTCAGAGCTAGACAGTGGGGAGCCAAGCTGCTAAGTCTTTAGTGCTGGCCATGAGTCAGCCCATGGTAGGCAGCTGATTGGTAGCCTTATGGCTTGGGAAACATATTGGCTGAAACCTCCTAACTCTTGCACCGACACAGTCTGTAAGTGTCCCAAAAGATTTTGGTATCCTCTTAATACATGAGAAAGGCTCACAAAGACAGGATGTAAAGTATGCTGACCACACTGATTTCTTACATGTGTGGCATGTCACTCAATCTCATGGCATCCTTGCTCATGGTTCTGAACAAAAGGGTGACACAGACTGACAACACAGTTGCAAGAAAAAGTAGGTGAACCTTTTGGAATTTAATGGTGTTCTGCATTAATTTGTCATAAAATACGATGCAACCATCATCTAAGTCCAGAGCATTGACAAATATCGTGTGCCTAAAATGGTAACACAAAACCAATTCTGATCCACCATGTCAAAAGGCTAATGGAAAAAGTGAACTCTTGGAATGAATAACTGATTGACCTCCCCTTGGCAGCAACAACCTCAGCCAGGCACTTCCTGTAGCTGTGGATCTGACCTGCACAATTGTTCAGGAGGAAGTTTAGTCCATTCTTCCTGGCAGAACTGCTTTAGCTCTGTCATATTCTTCAGACGTCTCACGTGTATGGCTCTCTTCAAGTCATTCCACAGCATCTCTATTGGGTTGAGGTCTGGGCTCTGACTTGGCTGCTCCAAAAGGAGGATTTTGTTCTTCTGAAGCCATTCTGTTGTGGACTTGCTCCAGTGTTTTGGGTTGTTGTCCTGTTGCATCACCCGATAACCGAGTTTCAGCTGACATACAGACAATCTCATATTATCCTGAAGAATGTTCTTATCCACTTGGTAATTCATCTTCCCCTCAATGGCTGCAAGCTGGCCAGGCCCGGATGCAGCAAAGCAGACCCAAGTCATGATGTGAAGAGGGTCCCTTTTTGTAGAGCTGCCAGGTAACGACAATCACACCGATGCAGTTACATGCTGTTCCAACTTTATTGCTCTAATTAGATCAATATATATACTGTTAAACAATACGCTTTGTGTTCACGCACCAAGCACAAGCTACAATAAGCTTAGTCTTTGATTATCTTTATCAATCCTTGTGAGTGTTAGATGCCCTTGCTGTGGTTAGAACATCCTGATGTACGTTCTGCAAAATTCTTGCAGATACAACTTTGTCACCTCTTTTTAAGTTTCAAGGCAACTCTAAGAACAGAGCATTGTTTAAGGTCCAAGCTAGATTGTCCAAACTTTCTAGGGGTATACTGTGTCCTTGTTCTGCAAGGAATTCCCCTACATATCCCCCTTTTTCTTTTTGGACAATCCACACTTGAGCTACTATCCTTTGCAATCCTTTCTTTAAGCACGTCCAAATAATACATCCAATAACTAAACATATCAGAATCATTACAATCATTCGCAATCCTTCATTAATCAATCCCTTTACCCAATCCGGGAGGTTTCCCAGCAATCCTGTAAGTCTAACAACCCTTGTTCTTGTTGAATCACATTCACATGCTGTTTCAGGTATTGAATACTCTTGTGTATAGACTCACTGTGGTCACTCAGATTTATACAGCATATTCCTTCAAAATCTTCACATCCATGTCCTTGGGCTAATAATAAAAAATCAATAGCTGCTAGATTTTGTAACAAAGCATGCCTCATGCTATTTTGGTCTAATAATAAGGTCCTCCTTTTTGTTTTTGAGCAAGCCAGACCCCATGCATTAAACGTTTAACTGCTATCATAAAACATTTTA